TATCGAACTTCAACGAACACCAGGAAAGTTACCCATTTTTCGATGGAGCCCTACACTGGGTCCACTGAAGACCTAACGCCAGTGACTTTTCATATGCTAGCCAATTGTAAATATGCTAAGTTGCAAGTCACTTCTGATGACGGCAAGTTTGGGATAAATCGAATAGGCCGCAGGCCTGCTAATGCAGCCTGGAGTCATAAGCCCATTTCTACCATGAGTGTGTTGCCGTTGGTTCCAAATTACCAGGGCGGCGCTAATACTGTCTTTCATTATCCTCAAAGCAGGGCACCGCCCGATGAGAAGGCTAACCCTTCATCTTCTTCAGGAGGACCACCCCAATAGCTACGACTAATATCCAAATGTTATTCCCCACGAACTTCAACAGTTCTCCGCCGGCCCTAAGTGCCAGGCCAAGAACGCTACCAAGCAGCCCAGGCAAGCCGCCTGCCATCTTTTTTCCCAAGTCCGTCAGCCCATTGCCTAATTTCTTTACGCCCGCGCCTGTAGCCTTAAGCGCGGATAGGATAACTCCTACTACGGTGCTAATAGCGACCGCAAATGCCAGTGGAACGCCATACTTCAAAAGGGCTCTTTTTATCTTTTCCTTGGTGGTAAGCCCCAACTCCTTTTCCAAGCCTTCTATTTGCGCCTGTAATTCCGCAACCCTTTCCTGAAGAGCCTCTAATTCCCTTTGGGCTGCTTCCCTTTCTTCTTTGGGACGAGTCTGGTCCTCAACTACTTCGTGTTGCCGCTCTATTTGCCCCTGCAGGTCTTCAATGGTCTCTTGAAGTTGCCCTATTTGCAAGTCCTTTTCGGCTATTTGCGTCATGATGCGCCTTTCCCTAGCATGACTCTCCACTACTTCTTCTCCCATGCGTGTTAGTTCCACATCCTTACCGGCCAAGCGACTCATAGCAGATCGAAAGTCATTCTCGGCAGTGGTCTTCTTACTCAGTAAGTTCGATAACCGCTGCCGAAAGTCGGCAACTTGGGCAGCGTGACTTTCGGCGGTAGCTTTGTTTTGTTCT